GACAGTCAGTTTTGGAGAAAATCGTCTAAACTGTTTAGATGCTAGAGTTGACCACCGAATATATTTGTGGTCCGTTATCAATTTTCCATTATCAAGGACCTTCAAAAAGTGAATTCTGACTACACAACGTATTAAAAGAAGTAAATTACTATATAAAGGAGCATACTTTTTCGATATCAGTGCTCAAGTGTTTTTGTGTCGAAAATTATCTACTTTCCGTTGCAACGTCCGTTCAGTATAAAATGTGTATATCAAAAAATTAAAATCAGTATCAGTCAGCTACATTCAATTTGAATTCAACACAACTGCTAGCTATACAGTAGTCGTTACCATAGCAATGCATCATAATTGCATGTTGTACGTTAATCGAAGTCATAATCGTTCGGCATTATTTATAACGCTTTGCATTTGTGAGGTCTTGTAACTGTGGCGTGGCGTGGCGTGAAGTATCGATTACGCTACCGAGCTCTCTAATGGTGCAACCACCTCAAAGAAAAAATGTATCTGTACTTTGCCATGTTATGGCTGAAGGTAGTTGTGGTGTAGTTGGACTGGAGGGGAAGTATAGTTATAGTAGAAACTAGATGGTGGCAAAAGGTTCAAGTTAATCGATCGAATTCTACATAATGTAGTAGGGGCGCTTGATGGCGAAGTTGAAACCTACTACAATGGACTCTGGTTAACTTTTTGTTAGATAACACTGGTCAACAAATTTTTATTCTGGAAGATCTAGTTCTTTTTGCAATCGGCATGTGCCATAATTTCAATAACTGAAGTTTGCACCTGCATCGAATGACGGAAATGTAATTTCCAAAATTCGAAATACAAAAATGTAATAAAAATGTAAGACATTCAAATTAATTAAAATTAAGTTAAATAGAAGTCTGTATTGAATCATTACTCACATATTTTTTGCGTCGTGACCGAATCAGGTATATTATACACCTCCCGCGCTCGTGGTTCTGGCTTTGATTTCTACTGAAGTTTCTACTGATTTCTACTGGTGTTCGACTCCAGCGCACCGCAACAAGCACTATTGCTTCGACACGTTTCACAAATATAAAATTATTTTATCTCGAAAATATCACCACCCTGCTATATTTTGCAACGAAGATCCTTCCACACGCACGCTCATATTCTACCACCGCCCTCCGTGATAGTGCAATCGTGCAACCTTAGCACGAGCCGCCATTTCTTTTTAATGCTTCAGTAGGAGTCTCTTGTATCCCATTCTCTAGCGCTCTTCCGTTGTCTTGAGTTCCCGATAGAACCGCCCGCCTTGCTCTGAACTTATTTCATCAACATTTAAGGAAACAAAGATGACTAGAAATTGTGACTTTGACACCAATGTTGCATCTCAGATCTAGAAATGCTAACACAATAGAAATAATAGTTTCACAATTAGCCGCATATTAATTACAGAGTTAGTTTTTATTACCGCCTTGAATGACACACTTTCCATTTTCCTCATTCTATCAATTGTTTTTCACATAACGGAGCAAAAATGTGGAGTTCATTAAACAGACCTGTCAGTTGAAGTGACAAACCATGGAGAGCTCTGACTATATGCTGGAAGCATTCACCATCTGTATTTAAAACATAGAAAAAGTCCATTAAACTCAGTTTGGTACGGAGCGGAGGAAATGTGGTATTTTCGGATCTAACTATTTAATCATTGACAAAAATGCATAGTCTCACATGATTGGCAATTTCTGTGGACCATTTAGATACAAATTGTCTAGTTATTCTCGTATAACATCTGCAGGTCACTCACAGTTTTAATGTCATTATGCCTCCGTCTTATATGCACAGAATGACTTATAGGTATATAACCTATGGGTGCATTATTAGAAGTACTGAGAGATATCGAAAAGTTGCTCATCCGTTTCTAAAAATATTGCTTTTGTTTCATCTTTTACAACGGCTTTTGTACGCTGCCCTTATCTTAACATGGAGTAAAACCTTGAAAAACTGAAACTGATAACTCTTCAGAAAGCATAGCCTAATTGCTGGCCTAATTAATTGTTGGCCTAAATGCTGAAGGGATATAGAACATGAAATGAATTTGACTGCAGATGGCTGGAATCAAAAGTTAAATTTCAGAAAAAATAAGAGCGAGGACAACAAAATAGTTTTCAGATAGAAAATTAGCAGATCAAAATTACTAAAAATCAGTAAAAATTAGTATGAGACTCAAATGACAATGTTAAACATCGTTGGGCAGTATTATTCAAATAAACGTTTGCTCTTTTTGAAAGTGATGTTTAAATTATGTTGAAACGTAACACTTGAAATGTTGAATCCAAAATTATATTTAGTAAGGTGAAAGTATTTTTGGTAAGAAATTGTTTGATTCTTCTGATAAATTTATTCTTAACTGCTTACCAGGGTATTTATTTGTCATTAACATCTTAAATACCCCCAACGCCCCATCTCCAACGCTCCGTTATCCCCCTTCTCCTTCTCATCTTCCCATGCATGATCCGTACGCTAAGATTTGACACGAAAAATTTTCGAATCTCTTAAATAATTCTGAGAAAGCTTTCCAAACCTTTTATTATTTGATTATTTTTATTTATCATCTATTTAGGGCAAGGAAATTCATGTAATGCTTGGGATAACGTTATTATATTTTAACAATAACGTTTTGTGAATCCCTGATACTGAAAAGGTTATTTTTTCTTTCTCTTATACCTAGTGTTTTTCTTTTTAGAATCTGCGTTTCGGAAATCCCTTTTTATACGTTCTTGATGCCAAAAAAAGTTTTTTTTTTCTTGAAACGTCTACGTGCCTGTCTTCTTAGTGGACCCCATTAACATTTAAACGCTTCATAGGATTTTCTACAAAATAGGTATTCTCTGATAATTAAAATCTCTGAATTTTTGAACAATGTAAAGATTTAAATATTTTTGTTCACATTTCTAGAACTGTGTTTTTTAGACAGAGATATTTTGTAATTAAATTTAATATTCACATGTAATCTTTCAATGATATCATGTTTAATTTCTGCAAAATGTGAATAGTTTTGGGGTAGGTTTGAGTGAAATTGTGACAATTTTCAAAGAATGTGTAATCGAGAATTTTCCAAGGAACGTCTCCAAACATGATTTAAATTATGCATTTCAAGCATAATTTAAATACTTATATAGAATAAATAAAAATGTAAATAAAATACCTTTAAACCAACACCCATTTAATATTGTTTCCCTTGCACTTTCTCGGGAAATATTTAGAAATATATTGAAGTTTTTGCGTTCATTTATAATTCGTCTTTAAATTTATTCATATTTGTTATTTAAAACTTCAATAACAGACGCTATATTTAGAAACGTATATAATTTTTAAGCTATTTTAATATATAAACATTAAACTAAAGAATTTTAACTATGACTAAATTATTGTAGTTTAATTACTGAAATGGTGTAGAATGTATGACTTATATTGTCTCGACAACGAAAAAGAACAGATTTTTTAAATAAATTGTTCGCTAAAAGTATGTTTTTCAAATTAATGATCTCGAATCCGGATTGTATGCGTGTGTCAACTTCATTTAGTCTTAATAAGATACACTAGATTAAACACTTTCAGAAAAAAACTTGTGTAAATGTACGAATTAAAGAGAGTTTCAAAAAAATTGAAGTACTTTCCTATATTCAAAACATAATTTTGTAAGTTAATGTTATTTTCAGTAATACAGTGAAATTAAATTTAGTTTCGTTGTCATAAATTATAAAGCAAAGACGGTTTGTCTACAAACAATCATACTGCAATATAATGAGTTGTAAGATTTAACAAAATTTAAATATACTTCACCATTGTAAATATATGTAGTAGTTATGACTTTTTCTCTAGATTCGACCCCAGGAATAAAAAAAATGTTTTATCACGGGAAATTAATTATAAGATCACTATTTTAGGGATTTCTAATTCTAGACACTGCATTATATCCTGCTTATTATTCTCAAATTATATATTGAATGTTTTGTATTTTAGAGGGCAAGTAAAATTAGTGTCTACCGCGTTACCGGGGGAAGCTTGGAGTAATGCAGGTCGATCAATCACATGAACCTCAACCGGGGAAGGCGTTGTAATTTTTAGCGCGTGTCATTTGTAACGTGACATATGCCAGTGTTTCATGATTAGATTGGCTCTGAGAAATGGAGCTTTGAAATTCGAAATTCACCCTGATGTTTCACCCATACCTAAAGTAAAGGCATTTATTTTAAGATTTGTAATGAAAGGTGGAAAAAGAGCATATCAATATTAAGCATTGTTATTGACGTGGCGTGGTTCTACTGGGTAAACGGGATTTTAGAAATTCATGATTTTTAGTTCCAAGAAGAAACGTGATCGTGGACAAATGAATAATAAACTTCAGCCTTCTAATATGCATGAAAAGTTTTACATTAGAGATTTAGAATTTTTGCGAAAAATTGTAACAATGAATAACTTTTGTTCTATTGAAGAACACTACTTTTAATCACTGATTTATTTTTCTCTCCTCTTCTGAACTCTGAAATTCATGTATTTTGTTTCAACTGCTAAGTGTACAACCTTCGTTTATTTTAGGTATTTATATTTTAACTGACGTTCAGTCAAAAAATTGAAAGTAATATTTATATTTTTATCATCAAAAACTAACTTAAATTGGAGAAGTATATTAACTATTGTCTCACATACCAACGGAACGTCTAATAGTTATGGTAATGGTGATATCCTCCTTGCATCCTACGTTCCACTAAGGGTGGAAACGGGTTCCACATAACCCAGTAAAAATGAACAAATCTAGACTTGTCACTGTCTTACTACGAATATATTCAAATCCTAATGTAATATTTGTATTGTGCAGAACTAATTAATTATAATAAATCGCAATTTTTAATGACAGAGACAGTGTCAACAACACAAATGTCTCTGTGAAATAATGTATTAAATCCATTTTATATACTTCCGAACAGGTTCAGCCAGTAGTAAATGATGCTATATCTACTTCTTTGCAGTGTTTGTGAATCAGGATGGCAACGGGGCAGCAGAAGAAGCTTACGAGTCGGTGCTGCGATATGTGCGGGCGAAAGGAATCAAAATATACGACCAGTACCGCGCACACGGCAACGGTACTAATGCAGAAGCGTTTTTGGACTTACGTAAGTTGCATTTTCTTCATGACAGTTCAAAATAAAACTTCATTTATTTCACAGTTTGTGTAAAATTGTATGGCGACATATCTGGTCTGAGTCATGAATGTGTAATATTTATCCAGTTCTTGACAAGCACTTTCACTTCAATGCAGAATGATTGGCAGAAAAGGATCTAAATCAAATGATATGAAATTGTATACGTTTGTGTTCCTGTACTTTATTTACTATGTTGGTTACACGGCATACTTCGGATACTTATTTATCGCTTCGTCCTGTCTAGCTTCGCCTAGCAACAATGCTGTAGCCAGGCAACAACGGTCTGCTTTGCAGGACAGTTTTCTAGTAACACAAATATTGGGGTGTGAGAGAATTTGAGGTAACGATAGAATCGCGAATCGTTTTGGAGGGGATGATTAAAAGTATTGTTCCAAAATTTGGAAGAAATTGTGCGGTTGTTCAAAAATATTTGTGGAAAATAAACACATTCATTTTTATCAATTAAAAATATAATTCATGTGCTTCTTAACTATTTTGATATTTTATACGCCTAAAAGCGATCTGTTGTAGTAAGGTGTGTTTTCCAGATGGTGGTTGTCGATCACATGAGTGATGTCAAGGTCGGGCGTAGGAATCCATATTATTTCCCTTTGTGACTCACATGCTTCGGGTTTCAGCTTGACTCGCGCGTTTGCTAGTTTCAAGGTCAGATATGAAACATAAAAACCGAACCCTTTGCATTATTAAGACCTATGTTAATATTATTTACTAGTTAAAAACACACGTGCAAATATTACTTAGTAAATGAAAGTTTTTCAAATGGATTTAGGATTGACGGAGATTTGTGGAGATTAATATATGAAACCTCATTGTAGTGGTTGATTTAATTTGTGTTGATTAATTTTGGTGGTTAATTGTTGGCATAGCCTGTAGGTCTCTTTTACACCTGTCTCATATTCCAATATCTACATGAATATTTGTTTCATGCATTTTATTCAAACGTGTTGTATTCTGTTGTTCTATATTACATTGAGAATTATATTGAAATGGTAAATATTACAATTACCATACAATATTATATATTATGCATTATAATCTTATTTAAAACTAAAACTTATTCTAACTTCAAGAAAATTCTTTAAATTCTTGAATTAATAGGTCAATTACAGTTATTTTAACTCGTTTTTTTTCTAAAATTTTGCTTTTGAATGTCACGTATAGTTAACGATAAAGTAAGTGCAGTGTAGGATAATTGTAAGAAAGCGCTATTTACCTAACAACTACACAACAACGAATACTTGAAGATTCTTTAGAATTACAGTCCCCAAGCAACAACTCGGTTAACCAAACAATCAGTTCAGTTCACATACAGCACATCTACACTTTCACGCAATTACATTACTCAAATACAAAACCGCATTGATAGACACAGACATTTTTGGGGTATCCATGTCACTAGTTTATATAGTTTTATAAGCGATTTATTCCTGCCCAAGTATGAAATTTTTTTTAAAAGTATTTACGTGGACCGAAAAATAAATGTTTCAGGGTTAAATTATTTATATCCTGGACCGAAAGATCGCGGTTTCGAGTCCCGCCTCGGGCATGGTTGTATTGTGATCGCCCTCCCCCCTATCATCATCATATATCGTGTCATCTTCACAGCATACCGTTACACGCAATAGTGGTCGCTAATGACCTAGAAGTTCACGGGGTCTTAAATAACAAAAAAAACCCTTTCAGTTTAATCTGTCTCCATATTTCATGTGATCTCAGATAAAAATAGAAATGAATAGTAAAACAAAACTTTCCTCCTTCCTCTGCAGTCCTACAGAAATATTTGCAGCATTGAATTTGAAATATTTGATTCCTTTTTAAGTAGTATTTAATTATGATGGAAAGTGGGAGCGCGGCCACGAACATCGACCCACCTGTTTGTAATGGAGATTCCGCGAGCGCACATGATTCAGTTCGAAGCGGCGGACGTCCGAGAGTCGTTCATGACAAATCTATGGTTTTAATATAAAAGTCTGTTTTGATTCGTGATTTTGTCGGTTTGATTGAGCCTCTAAAACATATTCTTTTTTAGAGGAAATTATTGCCTCTTTATTTTGGGGAAATTTTGAAACACCTATCCAGCAAAAATTGTGAAAAATCAGATTTTTTTTAAAACGTTATTCCATTCAAAAAATATAAAAAAGCACGTGCATATTTTGCTTGCAAATACATTAAATATATTTTTTCTGAGGCAGAACCTCTGAAATTTACTACAAATTCTTTAATTATTTTTGTGGCAAGCGTAATACCGCATTACGTCCTGAGGAAGGTCGCAGAATGGCGACCGAAATGTCGGCACCTTCGCCATGGACGCGGCGTCACCCGGACAGCCTAGTAAATACTGACTCCGGCCGCGGAAGCCTACGCTCTCACATGGTTATCATTGTCATGCAGATCCAGTCTACCAACTTCGTCAATTGAAATAACAGAGTGTAGAGCTATTATTAGTCTTGAACTGAATTATTAAGCCATTGAAGGTGTTTCTTTCTGTCTTATGTTCAACGTCAGAAAATAAAAATTATTGCGTGCCCCCTGGGTTACGGGGTCTTTTCACAACTTCCCTTCCTCCCCAACTTTTGTTTCGCGCTCACTCATGTCGGCGCGATCAAGAGCGTTTCGATCGTGGTAGTGACGTCTGCTGCCTCCACTGTACGATAAACCTGTCCCTGACATACACGCCCCCCATACTTAGCGGCATGAGGAGGAACATTCTTCTATTTAAGATCACCTGAAAACTACACTTCGCAATGCCAATAATTATAATGTTTCATCAAATCATTAATTGAATGAAGAGGTTGTGGCAGTAACAAGATAAGCCTTACCAGCCACAACAAATCCCCTGCTACTCGTAAATATTAATATCTCGATTTTCGGCAAAGCGTGTCTCACATTGTCTCGTATTGAATTACCTCAGTATTTCTCAATTCCTCGAATGAAGGAGGGCATCACATTTCTATCACAATCGTGAATCCTACGGTGAACACTACCTAACCTGGCCGAATCCAACAAGAGTCGAAAAATGGTTCTCATTCAAAAAGGGTTAGATAGGCTGGATATTTACTTGCGATGTGAATTTGAGGCATTTGTCTACTTGTATTTGCTCTTTACTTCCTAGAGCCTATTTTAAATTGCAGTGGGAACTTCTCAGGTGGACCTGTGGACTCCATCCACGCCACGCGCATGTGAACGACCAATCTCCCAGCCGGATTCCTGAATGTGAAAGGACTGTTGCTCCGCTCCGCTAGCCATTGCCATATATGATTGAAGAATATTATATTTTACGTTTCTATTTGTTTGAATGATGATCGGTGTGTTTCAATGCCGTATTACTTCCCAACAATATAGTATCCGTCTAAGTAGGCAGGCACAGAAAGGAAGAGAGGTTGGAATACCTATTCTAGCACTGTTTAAGGCATTCGAGTAATTGTAATATAAATCGTTTTTCCCCAGTGTGTTCTGCATACAATCAGTCACTAGTTGACAATAGAAAACCACATCTCGTCTTGGATATGACGCGCTACGATGTGCCGTCGGAGACCACAAAGTCTTTCACAAAGCTTCTGGGACTCCCAACAGTCTCTGGATCCTTTGGACAGGCCGGAGACCTCAGGTAACAGAAGTACATTATACTTATGTAATTATTTTAATGATTGATATACTGCAAACTTGCTTGAAGGTTTTTAGGTTCTTGCCATAATACGTACTTACGTGGTAAAGAAAAAGTATTTTATAGCTGAAGCAAATATCGGCGATTATTCGACAGCAAAACTCGTATTGTGGGACCCTGATATCGAAATAGTGAATAAATCTTGTACCTGCATGTAGTAAATTACTTCCTCTAACACTTTGTATAGTAAGAATTCCCGTTTTTTAAGTTTCCGATACATAAAAATTGAAGGCAAAGCGTCGGTCTGTGGTCAACACCAGCACCTAAATCGTTCAGATGATTTTCTCCAAAATTGGTATTGCCTAACCGATCTAGGAGAACGCGAGGCCTTCTGAGTTTGAAACGAATGTTTTGATTTGGGAGGCAGGTGCTTTATATGAAGGCCCAACATTTTCAAAATTTTCTCTGAAACCGCTCCAATTTTTTAATTATTATTTTCTCATGTAGAACAGAAGACGTTTCACAAATTACGCAGGTTTTATTTTCGTTACTCAATAAATTTTCGAAACTTGCAAAAAGTTAATTTTTTTGGTCGTTTTTTGAAGATAGTGATTTATTTTCTCAATTAAATATGTTCTTCAAAGACAATTTTTAAATAAGCTTAATTTTGTCGAAAGTATGAGTAGATTTTACGTAATTTTGTGCGAAATATAAGTAAATTGTAAACAATTATTTTATCAAAAGTGGCTCCAATTTTTTCTTTAATTTGTTCTCAAATATAGAAATGTATGCTTATAAAAATTGATGAAGGTCCTATTTTTATGAACTGTCGAACTTTACAGAAAAATTATTATTGCGAAACTACAATATTGATGATGTAGATTATTTTATTAATGAAAGCTGTTCTAAAAATGAACTTTAAATAATGTCACACACTATTGTTTTTTAAACGAGTAGTTTTTGCGTAACTTTTGGTTTACGTAAAGGCAGTTTACAATATTTCCCCCCAAAACGACTCCACATTTTTTCTTTCCATTTTTTCCTCGGATGGAGCAAAAAGTGGTTCAAGAGTCATTCTAGTTGAAATCTCTGATTTTTTTAAATTGTTAAAAGTTAGAACTAATCCGAGCTATGTGTTGTTAGTAGAGGCGCAACCAGGATTTTTATGGGGAGCTATGATATAATGTCCAGTCGACTTGATGTTTTCTTTTAACGAGGTACTAATCACTTGAAAAAGAAAGCTGTATATTAGGTCGATTAATAACTCTGTATATATTCATCTGTATATCATTCCATAGATTTTTTCCATAATACTCGAAGACCTCTTCAGTTTTAAATTCTTAAAGTTCCACTTCAAAATTCAAAGTATTTTAAAATTTCGCAGAAAATGTTCTAAAAACGACATTGAGAACATTTAAAAAATAAAATATTTTAATTTTCCTTTTTGTAGTATTGGTATCTGAAATACTACGATTGATAAAAAGTCTACTTTTTTCGAACATCTAATCTATTGATTGAATTGATTTCTTATATCATAATATCATAAAAAAGCAAAATTTCCTATCATATAAAAATATATCAGAAAAATGTGGATCTGTTTTTGCGAAAACGTCGTTTGAATGTTTATGGACTCCATCTTTTGCACACTTATGAATTTTGCTACTAATTTTAAGTTTAGAGAAATCCACGAGGAATTGTTTAATGATTTTATGACCACAAGTTAATGAAATTAGGAAATTTAATTATAAAGTAAGTATTATGATCGCGATAGGTTCAAAAATACATTGGCTTTCTCTTTAACAATTCAGAAATTTAACAAATATGGTGCACATTGGGTTAGGCATATTTTGATGCGCCCTTCACTATTCCAACAAAATAAGAATTTAAACTAATTGGCATCAGATTTTTAAAAAATTGAAAAAGATGTTTGAGCTGAGTTAGATTTATTGAAAATATCCATTATGGAGAAACTCCTGCTTACAGATTAGGCATTAGTGTTTTTCAAAAATGATATAATAGATTTTTTGTAAAATAATATTTTTGTTATCAAATACTTCCCAATCTTTTATTATTAAAATTAATAGTTATAATAATTGCCAAATGCGCAGATTATTTGTTGTGAAAATCACTATGTTTTTGCTTCTTGCTTTCACGATCACAATTCCCATAACTACGTTTGTTTTAGCAACAATTCCCATATTACTCAATAATCCAATAGTACATTTTTGTCCCAAAAATATGACGATAAAACTGTGTTTTCTTTTAATAGACAATGGCGAAATCTCGATGCAAAACGAGAAGCTTACCTGATTCAGGTAAATCCACCATATGATATGATAGCAGAAGTGGTACGTCCAATTGTCAATAATCAGAACATTAGCAATGCAGGTGTTCTTTTCGACAACAAAGTAGGTAAGTCTGCTTACATTCTATTGTTAATGTTGTTATTCTTAAATCTCAAAACACCGTGTTACATGTGTTAATGAAATTATCTTACAATTTTTACAAATATGTCATTTCTTCATTAATTTATTTAGTAATGGATCACAAGTACAAGTCGCTCCTGCAGAATATTCCTACGCGTCATCTTATCAACGAAGTTCAATCTGGGCGAATTCGGTATCAACTGGAAAATTTTAAAAGGCTGGAACTTTTCAACTACTTTATCATTGGTGATTTGAAAACGATTAAGACGGCGCTCGACGCAGGAGATGGCCTGGAATCCTTCGACAGGAAATTTGCTTGGCACACCATTTCTCTGGTACGTAAGATGGCTGATTAATTTTATCTACGTATCTTATTACCCATTACAATATTGGATCGTAAATAATGCTCGTTTTCAATCATAAATAAAGCTACAACAAGTTGAATTTTTAGAGCTGTATTCTTCTATTTGGAGAAATTCAAGGTACAGAGCGTTTAGAATACGGCCATCTCAAAACAAGATTTGTTTGCGTCTCTAAATGTAGGTTTTGACAACCATATAACAAAGTAAGAAAGCTGAAGTAACGAACACTCAGTGTTTGACGAGGGGATCCAATGTTTACAGAATTGGAGAATTCTCCGTTATTCCTATTTTTTGGGGTGTTTTGGTTCTGAAACGAGTAGCAGCAGCTCTTTGTTCCGAAATTAGTGAATTTCGACCAAAGGCAGCGTTGAATGGCATTCCTCAGGACATGCTGAAGAAGGTAACGAAGATCTATAATTACTCAAACGGGCCATGACTGGTGAAGCAACATGGGTGTACTGTTACGAAATCGACACAAAGGCTCTAGTCGTCCAAATGGAAGCGATAACCGAAAAAATCATGTCACATTCCACCGAATTTGAAGGTTTTGCTTACTGTTTTCGTGAATTTCAACGGTCTAGAGCATCATGAGTTAATGCCATAGTAGAGTCAAATTATTTCGAAAGTTATCGGAAGTAGAAGAGTACCACTTCCGACGTTTACGCAGTAAAGCACTCCGAATAAAACTCCCGGATTTGTGGCGAAACAATTCAACACCACGTAGATACTGTATATCTAGGTGGTGTTGAACAATTCATGGCAATTGAATCACAATAAAACTGCTCACACTTCAACTGTTTTTCGTCAATATTTAGCAAAAACAACACTATTATGATTCCTCGGCCTCCGAATTCGCCGGACATGGCCCCCTGTGACTTTGTCCCTTACTCACAAAACTTAAGAAGTCCGTGAAAGAAAGAGGTTTTGCCAGCTACGGAGAACTAAAAACAGAATCGCTGAAGGTGTTAAACGCCACACTAAAAACGATGTTTCAGAAGCAATTTGAGAACTGGAAAAACGCTGGTACAAATGTACTTTATGTTATGGGAACTATTTTGAAGGGGAGAAAATCAATATTAATGAATAAATAACATACTTTTGAGAAAACGCGTTTCTGCGTACTTATTGATCGTAAGATTAGATTTGATACTAGAGAAGGCTTGAAATTATCCGAGTCCCGATTAAGCGAGCAGTTATTAGAAAAATCAACAGAATAATTCATTGCAAAACGATTGATGCCGTTAGGGAATTTAGGAACGTTGGGGTTTTCCCCAATTCTGTAACCATTGGATACCCTCGTCAAACATTAAGTGTGTCGATCATTATTGCTGTTTTAATTGTTCCTCTATGTACGCTGTAAATGTGATTTCTCCATTTACGATATTTGTACTCGTACATTGTTTTTTGTAATTAATATGTTGATAGTGTAAACGATCCTATACCAAATATTTGTATCTAATGCTTGTTAAATGTTCTCAGTTGCTCCATTTTGTATCCAAGTCCTGTAAATCATTCTTTTTTGTAGTCATGGCTCATAGGAACGCAATGATTGTAAGCTCTTTTTTGATGGTATCCATTACCTATTGCTTAGTAATTGGTGAGAGGTGCAATGCTTTTATTTACTTTTTT